TATTTCTTAGTAAATATGTGACATTGTACTGTACCCTACAATGTTGTTTGTAGCTTTTTAACATATTTAACATAATTATTTTATTCCTGTCAATATGGAGATGGACCTATGCAGTTTATGTCTGTCAATGTGCAATAAGTGTGATTTTTATGTGGTTTATAGTTTTTTTTGTTTTTGATACTGACACATTTTTCTTTACACCTGAGGTTTGCACCCAATTTCGTTGTACTGTGTACAATGACAATAAAGATTCTATTCTATGTTATTTATTTTTACAAATACTGTTTTGTGGCTTCTGAGTTACAAGCCTTTAGTACTCAGTGAGTATAACCTCATTAGTTAATTTAATTTCTTAATAAGAATGACTTTATGAATTATTTATTAGCATCCCCAAACCATGCAAACAGAATCAAATACAATCTCCTGGTCATGGGAACATGTGGCTGCTGACGTGTGCATTAACATGTTTGAATTAGGCTGAAATTTATCATGGGAAGTGAAGCAAGTATTTATGTTCATAGTAATAATCTATCCCATTCTCTGTAGTTGGAAAATGAAGTGGACAATTAATTCACTGCCACTCATTCTTAGATAATGAGTGGCCAAAAGAGAGTACATAAGTGTTTTTGTGCCCATGCAAGTGGAAATTGAGCACAGTGTCCCTGTAGGTTTGTGCACATGCTGTGGTTTTCCATATGAGCCACCTATCTACAGCAAAGCTGCTGAAACTAGCTTGGTTTTCCAGTAGCATCTGATATCAGCAGTGCCATCAGGGGTTACATTAGCTTGAGCTTGGAGACTTAAAATTAACTCTCTCTTGTGAGAGACGTGGATGTGCGTAATCTTCAAATCCTCAAGGGCATCTGTTATGGCTGCATCACTACATAAGACAGAGGTAAGGTTGCTTCTGACACCACCTATCGCTCCTCGCCATCCCTCCTTTCTCTGCCTGCCAAACACCCAGAGTCCCACCACCTGTTGAACAGCGAGGTCCATGGCATCTCAGTTCAGCACCATGGGACAAATAATAAGGCAAAGACGGGGTTGCTGGTAGGTGAACGTATGCTACCTTGGTCAGTGAGCATCTGCTGAGCACCTCTTCCTGTACTCCTGCAAAGAGAGGAGTGTGTAAGAAGTAGACTGTTATGATTTTCACCTGCTGTTCATGAAAACTCCACCATGTTCTTTAGGTAATACAAGCTGCTTTTATAATATTATATCAAAGGAAATGCTATTACTGATTCTTTCCCACTGCAATTAACCACATGTTTTTCCTGTTTGACTGGATGAAGGTTCACCTTTTGTTCTGGTTGAACTTGCAGCGGCAGTGGCCACCTGGAACAAAAGAAAAGTCACACTGAAACTCTTTTACTATTGCTTTTTGTGTGTATTCTGCTTTTCAAGTCTGTGTATCAATGCATATGTGAATAAGGGTGTGTGTGTGTGTAATGTGGATCTTACTGAGCAGGATGGTGATGCCAATGAGACAGAGGACAGCAGCTAGAATCAGGCCACCAACACGCAGTTTGTAGTAGTCTGCACAAACAGATCAGCTTTACCGTCAGATGATATACAAAAAATGTGTTTAATTTAACAATGCACTGCAATCTTGAAACATACAAGAAAATTACTCAGTACTAAAAAGTGAGAAGTCAAGTGAGAAGCTATTTTTACACAAACCTAAACATGCAAATAAGTGAGTCTTGATAGTAACTATTATAGTCTTCTGTTACACTTCATAGCCAATACAATGACTACCAGTGACACATATCATCTTCCCAGTTCCATTAACTTTTAAATAATACAATTAAATACATGGAATTAGATAAAAACCATTAGATTACCAAAGGTAAATGGGTCATCTTCCACTGATGGAACAGAAATGAACAGCGTCAGTTAGAAGCTGGACAACAGATAAACAGAGACATACAGTAACATCCACATAATCGGTGATGTCAGAAAGTCAGCAGTACAAAGTGAGATGAGCACACACACAGTGACCTAGTTTGAGTCTCGCATTAATCATTGACATGTCTGAACACTTCAACTTTAAACAAACAAAACACTCAAAAATGTAAAGAAAAGTATTTTTTGATGGGATGACAGATGTTCTCTGTGATGAAACCTATTAACCTTGCTATTTAAATGAAAAAAGAGAAGAGAAGAAATAAAAAACTGGTAGTGTACTTACAGCTCTGTTCTTCTGCAAACACCACAGACACAACTGCAGGAGTCCAGAAACAGACACACACACACATTACCATAGTGAAACACAGCTTGAGGAATCGAAGTGTGCACATCAGAGTTAAGGAAGATAATTACAATAAAATACAAACATCCCATTCCTGTTAAGTAGAAAAATAGATTTTAAGGTTGAAATAAAAACAATTTCACTTGCATTGTTTTCATTTCTTTAAGCTTAAACATTTCATTTTACTGTTACCTTTGAGCAAAGACATCTGCTCCTTAGAGTCACTGACAACTGGAACAGTCAGTGTCAGTCAATAAACCACCTCTTAAATCTTTGCTGTGTTCACTGGCAATCCAGATCGGTTTAAGAATATCGCATGAACCTCTGTCTGTTTCTCCTTGCCCAGCTAAATATGGATGTCATTACCTTCACCTTTTCCTTTTCTGCACTGTAGTTGTAGAACACTTCATTCACCATCTTGCTTACAGTGTTTGGAATTTGCTTTGGCACCGTTTATTTCTCTGGGACAAAGCCATATCAAAATCCCTAGCAATGGACTGATCTCCTCTGTCCCACCCCAGACATGCTACTTAGAGTCACAACAACAGAGATACTTGGGCAGGGTGTGGATGGAGAAGACAGACTCCAGGCAGAATGTCCTTTGTGAAGGGGAAGCGGGAGCAAACAGGTCATGAGTGCCTAGGGATGCAACTTTAGTACATATTGACAGTGCCAACAACTGACTTTCCACCTTTTGGAGAGAGGAATGTACTCATTTAATGAAGTATTCTTGAGGCTCTTTCTGTAAATGTGTAATTAAAACAACTCACGTGTCATCAACACCACAACACAGATCTTGGACATCTTCAAACGTGAGGCTGTTTACCTGTAGAGATAAATACAGATATCAGAGGAAATTCAGAAGGCAACTAGACTAATGCTAATAATTCTGACTTGGCTATTGTAACAACAACAACCACATTAAGTAAAAATAAATAATAAATCTTTTATTAACTAAAAACCTGTAGCTTTGACTGATGCATGCAGATTGCCATGCGAACAAGGCTCTAGTTGGCCCCAATAACATGATGTGAATAATGAGGTCCTCGTCCCAGTGGCACAAATGATCGAAATTTAAATGTGAGTGCACGTTAGAAAGCTGATTACAAACTGGCTCATACCAGCCAACAAAGTCAGTAGAGATGTGATGCAGTGTATTTCACCCTTCTGTGTTTTCTGAGGGGTGCTGAAATGATTTGGCAAGCATGAGACAAACTCATCACTCTTACACTACGTGCATCCAAATGCCCTCCCACAAAAACATCTGATCTAATTTGGACAGGCACAAAGTGGTCTCTCTCACACTCTTTAAAACTCAGAAACACAGAAACCTGATCTGATGTCGATGGGTACAAAGTGCTCTAATGGATCCTTAACAGGGCAACTAAATCTCTCTCTGTGATGTATTAACAGTGCTGCCATGTATAAGCCTCAATATTCTTTCACTATTACCCTTTCATGTTGTTACAGGATGATTACATTAATTTGAATATATGTCCCCATGTGCTGTAGCTGTCCAGATTTTTACTATTTGCTGGTAAATCCATGAGAATATTATTAAACTGCACTTAGCTTTCCAAAGCTATTTCTGTCTATAATGTTGTTTTAATTTTATTTCTAGGCTACATTAGTGAATAGTGCATTTTGTGAGTCTTTTTGCACTACCATCAGTCAACTGACATATTTTACAGAGGACTTCCTCCCTGACAGTGACACAGAATTTACAATAATCACACGTTTGTCATCTCTAGTGAACACGTACATTTCCTGACAACAGCAGTTAGATCCCACACATTGTCTGGACTTCTCTGTGTTGTGTTAGCTGCCATGGTAAAACAGCAGCAGCGGTACCACGTGCACTGGGAGGAGGAGGAGGCACACCTTAGGCAATGCAGCAGTGATTTTCCACTTACTTCACTCAGTGTGTACAGCAGTATGATCTGCCTGGCTTCTGTTTGTGTAATTGACTTTTATTACAATCTGTGAGGAAACTGGAAATAATTCCTAATCTTTTATCTAAAGTTTCTCCCATTTGAGATTTTTTTAACCTTTATTTCATCAGGGTAAATCCCACTGAGGTTTAAAACCTCTTTCTTAAGGGAGCCCTGACAAGACGGCGGCACACAAGTTTACAAAAACAGCATACAGATACAATATTCAACAATATTTCCACAGTTCACTAAATAATACAATAAAACTACAGAACAACAAGGTAATAATCAAGTTAAAATATTAACTAAAACAGGAATAGGAAGAAAAGTTATCAAGCACCAATGAATTTACAAACCCATTCAAACCATTGCTGATAGTTTGATTCCCTTTTGTAAAATATCCCATGTATTTGTAAAAGATGAGATGAATACTTTCTTGTCCATTTCAGTCCGTACACCAGGGACTGACTGCATGTACATATCCGCTATGATTAGAGCGACTAAAATGACCAGAGTTGAGAAACCATCTAACACCTGTCTGAAAGGAAGCAGTGACCTTTCAGACTTGGCGATCACAGTAAAGGAGGATGTAAATAAAACAATGTGTCGCCCTCCTAACAAGCTGGTATGTGGAATTTGGCAGAAGTCGAGAAAGAAGAGAAGGATGAGTGCTTCTCTGTTTGCGGCTCTCCTCAGCAACCCAAGGCAAGGCAGAGGGAATGTAGAGGTCGGGAAACAGGCCAACAACCACTAGAGAGCGGTTTACCTCAGGAGAGGAGAGGCACAGAGATGAGAGAGGAGAGAGAGAGCATGAAGAGGCAGAGGGGAAAGACAGCCAGAGGGCAAAGTGAAGGTGAACCTATTGAAAGGCCATGCTGAGGACAGCGTGAGAAGAGGGCAAAGGAGAGAAGACAGAGTATAGAGTTTAGAAAATGTGGCGCCTCCCTGTTCCCGTTTGAAGATCATATTCTAAAGCAAATGTTAGTCTAAAGTGGAGCTAGGACAGAAGAGTTGGAGGTGTGTATTCCCTCTCTGGCTAGCAGAAATAAGATCATGCACCTTGGTGGATGAGTAAAGTAAGGTGTATAACATACAGTATGTTTGACTGCCCATAAAAATGAAAATGAAATATACTGTCCAACAAGGTGTGCTGTCACTCAGGAGCGCAACAAAACAATAGTGCTTAATTAATTAGCTGATTGTCAGAACTACCTGATTACTTAGGCGTAACTTAGGACAGTCACTGTTAACTACTTTCTGACATTTTATAGCTCCAACAAGTAATAAAAAGTAGTTTGTTAGTGTCTGCTTTAATTCTCATTGGAATGTAGATGAATTTAGTTCATAATCCCGTTTCTTCCAAAGACGCCCTAACTTCAGATGACAGAGACAGAACATTCAGTGTATCAAGTCAAGCAGCTAAATCAACTTCTGAACAAGTGATAGTTTGGAAACTGTTTTACTTATCTATACACTTCAATAGGAAATTGAGGCACAAACACAAAGAGAACACAATACACCTGGACTCAATGAATTAAATCCAGAAGTAAGTTAACAGTGGAACACAAAAAGGGCTTCATGAAACTCAGTGAAACCCACAGATAAACACACAAGGAAACTAAAGACTTGACCACATGAGAGAAATGTACAGCCAAACAAAAGCTCTGACGTTATGAAAAGCACAGGTAAATATAAATGGAACAAAAGACTCGACTTCATGAAACCCACAGGGTAGGGGAAGTGGAGCTTAGCTTAATAAAACCCACGGGTAAATATAAGGACAGAGAAAAAAATGGAAGTTGACAGAAACTAAACAAAGACAGCAACAGGGAGCAGACAACTGATCTGAAAACGAGTGAAAGTCCAAAGCAAAGCAACAGTCATTTCAGTGGGGAGCAGGTGGAGACGAGGTCCGAGAAACTGTTTGTAACAGTAACAGGATGGCGGATAAAAAAAGGCTGGACAGGCATGGATGTGAGCAAACACAAACTAAACACTGGCTGCTGGTTTAAAAGCTGGAGAGGTGAGTACCCAGATGGAGAGCAGGTGAGTGAGGGCAGTGCACAGGGCAAGAGTAAGAAACCAAAGAAAGACAAAGGCTGGGTGTAGACTCCACAGGTGCTGCTGGTCGTTGAGTAAGACTTTGCATTAAGATGTACTACATGTCCACTGACATGTCTGGCTTTCACATTATCGTTTAATTTTTAATTGTTGATGAAAAATGTCAAACATTTCATCATAGTTCTTTTTATTTAATTTGTCTAATTTTCATCAGGTCAGCAAATATTTTTCACCCTGGTTTTTGCTGCCAATCCACTAAGCGATTAATCGACTGTTTCACTCCAATGTAGTTACAGTCTGACACTACATGCAACTTTCACAAAACAACTAAGAATCTTGTTTAGTTGCAGAAAAAAGTTTGATATAGGCAAATAGAGCCAAAAATCTCTGCAGAGCCATATTTAAAGCACAGCTTCCTTTCGCCTGGACATAAACTCCCAGTGTAACCATCTCCGCTCAGCCCAAGGATAAAGAGCGTTCTGTTCTGGCTCTGTCACGCTGCTCTTCTAGTTCCTGGCCCTCTCTATTTTATGTTTTCACATCTCTTTTCCGTCCTGTTTTTCCACTTTTCTTGTCTCCTGCCCTCTATATATCCTCTGCTTCTATCACTCTGTCTCCCTCTGTCGATACTCCTTCCCACCTGTGTGAAAAGAATCAGCTGTTTGTTTGAAACTGTTGTTTGTTCATACTGTTCTTTTGTCATTTTTCTCTTCTCTCACATTCCCTCCAGCCTCTTTAAACTCCTCCTGTCCTACTGCCCTCCTTTAACACACTTCCATATGTCCGTACTCCTTCACCCATCCCCTCTCTTCTCCTTTTGTTAAGACTTTTCCACCCATTTACAAACTCCCTGGAGCACAGACTTTCTAGGCCCTAAGCCCATCTCACACTTACAACACTATCTTCTTCTCTCTTCCATCCCATGCTTCTTCTCACTCTCCCTTTTATCCACCAGTGAGTTTACACAATAAGTTGCAGCACAATTTAAACAGTCATAACCTTTAAATGTACAAACATATCATGTCTTAGTCAAGGACCCACCTAGTACTTGCTCACAAAAAGCTTTAATATGCAGATTTTGTTATGAAAATCCTTCAGAGACTTTGCTCATTTGCCAGCTGATTAGCACTCAGCTAAAAGTATCACAGTCCCATACAACAGTCCTGTCATGAAGGTAATAGTGTTCTGGTTTTGTTCAAACTGTTTTAGAAAAGTGTTGATTCAATGTTTGGTCATTTTGGAGGCTGCAGCTTGTGGTGGTTTAAATTGTATTAGGTTACAATGAAAGGTGTTTCTAATATTTAGTCTGCCCGCACTGATATAAACATGGTGGACGATATATTGGAAACCTTCCTCTGTATAACACAACACAATTCAACAGCACCACAAACTACAGAATGACCAAATATTGACCAAATATTGACTCTAAGTGTACCGCATAAACTGGCACTGTATTTCTTCTTTAGTTGACATAAACATGTTTCACACTACTATCCCGGGCAGCATGAAGGTGCTGCTGCCAATTACATTTACATATTTTGAATTTACAAGTGCCATTTTTGCTGGTAGTGTCACTGGAGCAAAGGTCATGAGATCACCAAAAATACAGGATCAGGCCTCTGTTATCCTTGAATATCCACAACAGGTTTTACAGTAATCTATCCAGTTGTTTCAAGATATCTAATGGACCAACAACAATCACATTCCTGGGTCCTGCAGTTAGCAAAGCTAAAATCACAACTGTAAGGAAAATATGTAAGCGGACAAAAACGTTAGTATTGATCTGTAATTGTAAGTGGGAAACTGCTTCTGTCAGTCACACAGACACACACAG